GTAATTTCTTAAAATAAATTCCCAAAATAGCTTTAATATCTAAGTATTGAAAACCTTTTCCACCTTCATAACATTGAACTTTATTTAATCCTGCTGGACTGGACCTTTTTACTACATCAACCACATGACCCACACAATCTACTCTTGTTCTTCTGTAGAGTTTTTTAATCATGCCAAAATTACCATCACATTTAAATTTAGTATGTCCAGAAATCATGAAATTCAATTCAATACTTTCATAATAGACACAAATTACCAAATATAAATAAAATCAAATAGTAGTTAACATGCAGTATACGCTAATTGTTCATTAGAGTTTTGGCAGTCATCAAGAGGTTTTAGCAAGCAACCTTAATGTGATGAAGGGGATTCATTTTATAAGATAACTAGAGTAATAAAAATTTTTTAATAAGTATTTGGAAACAAAACCCTCCTAAACTTCCTCCTCAACTCTCTTGCCTTCAACCACATCGCCTGGTTCGTCCTCATAAGCCCCTCATTCTCCCTCAACTTCTTACAGTTTATCCTCTTCCTAATTAAATGTTCCATCACAATCTCCTCCTCCCTAATTCCCCAGGGCGATCTAAACCCCCTCCACCTCTCCCCTATGTCAATAATTCCATCATTTTCTTCATCCTCCTCACCCTCCTCACCCTCACCCTCCTCACCACCATCACTATCTTCTACCATTACCACCTCTAGCACCTCATCCTCCTCCACATCCTCCTCCTCCTCATCCTCCTCCTTATCATCACCACCATCACCTCTACTATCATCTACTGCCTCCACCTCACTCTCTACACTCTCTACACTCTCTTCACTCTCTTCACTATCCTCTTGATCCTCTCCTCTCCAATCAAAACTTCTTTTATTAAATTCATAGTTTCTGATGGACATCGTTTAATCAATTTAAAAATTATAGCAGCTTTCTCAGAAGATGACACCTCGTCAAACTTCTGGACCCATACATCATCACTAAATTCATCATTAAATTCATCATCGGTTCTAATAAAAAAAAAATTTAAGTTTAATAAAGAAACTAGAGTAATGACTAGTGGCAATAACCACCACCAGTGATAAACACTTACTCATAAACTGCTCCAGATGTATTTTCTCTATTTCTTCTATTGTTATTGCTTTTAATTGGCATTTTTAATAAATTTTTTAATTTGGAAAAAAAAATTAACAAGTAAAACAAAATATTATTATTATTTAACAGGAGAGACTGTTCTGGTAACACAAAATTTTAACCCATGTGACCAATCAAAATGGTGAATTTGATAACGTAAAAATTAAATGTTGGTTTGATTCATTTTGTCAACAATCACTTTACCAACAATTTGTTTCAATAACAAATGGTTCGAATTTAAGAAGTTGGAAGCAACCATGCAACAAACCTTTGAAATAGTCTAATAAATTAAATTTTACTACTCGAAAATGTATTTAAAGGGTTGGTTTTCAATTTGGTTGAAGAATAACTCTCTTCCTAACTCCCCTATTGACCATAATCTCTTGATATAATCAAGATAACCTTAATATAATGAATGTCGACGAAATTATTGTAAACACAACCAATTTAATATTAAGATATACGATTGAGACAAAACATGAATGATGTATGAAAAATCAAACAAATTTATTTAATAAAAACTAGAGATTAGCACCATTAACCGTTTAACTGTTTTAACCAGTTAAAGAATTTTTAAACAGTGCCAATCTCTAATAAAAACAAAATTTACAACCCAAAAATTTTTTTTGCATGTTCTAATAAAATTTCCATTGTTGCTACATCATCTATTCGGATTCAACATTACCTGGATCTTCATCAACTGATATTTTTGTTATTTTTGATAAATTCATTTTTGTTTAATCTTTTTGTCATACTTTCTTTTAGTGTGTTGACATTTTTTTTTGATTTTGACTTGAAGATAGTCCAAGAAATCAAACATTTAGATTGACACCTTTGTAGACAATGATTGTGATAACATGAGTACACTACAATTATTCAAATTAGTATAGTTTACGTAATTGCAAAGAATGTTTGTAGATGGTTTCCCAGAAGTAACAAAGTTTTAGTAATTAAAGGATATGATTTTGCTTGATATACTGGTAGTATCAGGACGTGAATCTATGATCATTGTCAACATTCAACATGAATGTACTTTTTGAATATTTTGTAAGTGCATTCTCTACATATTTCTCATGTTCATCTGTAACTTGCTTCTTTTTACAATCTACTGCTCTTGATGTTGTGGTTGCTCTAAGACTTGTATCTACGAGTCTGAATAGAATGCAAGGTCGAACTTAAAAGAGTTAATTTTGTTTTATTTAATAAAACAAGAAGATAACATATGAACACCATCATTAATCTCTTCATATGGTCCATTGTTTGTTCATTACGTTCAAGCTAATTAGAGTTGGTCAAAAAACCCCTTCAAGCTTGGTTTTATTTCTTGGAGCAATCTTCATATTTCATCAAAATTGTATATAGGAACTTCTTTATTTGAACATTCTCTTTCATAAAAGATTTGGTCATCATCTTCATGTTAGTTTTATCAACGTTTTCAGTCATTACATTTTAAATTTTTTTTTTGATCTTATTTCATGTTTGCTTATTAACGTTTTCAGTTGAAACCTTTTTATCATTGATATTAGTAACGGCAACATCTAATCATTATAATCAGGATCTTTTACCACTTCTACCTGTTGCTTCTGCTGTTGCTGTTGATAAATAGAGGAAGACAACATCAAACGTGTTTATGAAAAGAAAATTGACAAGGAAGAAAATAGTGCCGAAGACATCCATGGAGAATTTGTTGTAATTAATGATGATGATGATGATGATAAACTGTGAAATAACCTTGATTCTATACTCTTCAATCTTTTAGTGATGGAAGCAACTTTTGTGTTTTTTCTAATTTTTTTTTTTTGTGCTGTCGGATGATGATGATGATGATGATGACGACAATGATGATGGTTGGAAATCATTAATGAACATACATAATTAATACTTATATATGTGTGTATGTATGTATATAGTATGATAATAACAAAGGATTTTGTGAAGATTTAACTGAAGGAATGTTTTCTTTTGCAATCATACATTCACTTCATCAAGATTCTAGACTACAGACAATTATTCAGTATCCTTTTTAAATAAAATTATAATTTTTTTTAATTTTTTTAAAAAGAATTATTTCTTAATTCTACAAACCTAATAATGATATATTAAAGCAACATACAATGCTAATTGAGTTAAAGCATCATGATATTAAACTAACAAAAGATACAGATTCGTTTGCACAAAGGATTATCTGGTAAAAACTGAAAAAGAGGCAAAAGATGAAATTGGAAAAACTTATTGATACTTTAAGCGAAAGAGTAAATTATAACAATTTATTAGATTTTAGCTCCTTAAAGTCAATTTGCCGAAAAGACATTTATATCAGCCAATAAAATAAACGTTAAAGAATGACAAATACAAATTTACAAGAAATACTAAATAGTAAATATCCAACCCAAGCGGAAGTGTTAAAAAATCAATATTGCTAATCGAAATAATACGACAAGATTTTAAATAAGAGCTCGTTGGGCAAATATATTGTTGAACGTCTTGCGGCCAACGTGATATTTCCTTCATTGTTTACGTATCCATCATGTTGGATACCTTCTAGTTCCGTTGGATCAACTTTTACGATTGCCATTTCTTCTTTATTGAATGTTTTGATCGAAATAACTTGCGATCTCAAAATATATATTTCTTCAAAAATATAATACCGTTCAAATTTTAATATTTGTTTTAAAATTATTTAAAAATATTTTTTCTGCATTTTTAAAATTATTCGTTATAATTAAATTAATGTTATTTTTTTTAGGTTTTTTATTATTTTCCGTTACCGAAACACAACTATATATATATGTTATTTGTAAATTTTTTAGAATGATGAGAAGTTGCAAGTGGTAATAACTACCACCATTTGTTTAAAAACAACTAGAGTGACGACAAGTGATGGTGGGCGATAACCACCACCACCCTTAAAACACTTACCCATATATTGTTTCAGCTTCTTCTTTTCTGCTTCTCTTTCTTTTGGTTTTGGATGATTCCATTTTTTATTTGAAAATAAAAAAGTTTATTTGATCGACCGACAACGCGTACACTAATTATTTATCCTATTGGTTTTTTTTCTGGTAGGACAGACGCGAATTGATTTTTTTTTTTTTTTTTTTTGGGAAAACAAATTTTTTTTTTAGAGTGTGCAAAATTGACAAAAGTGGGGTTTTGGGTGAGCATGGTTGTGGAAATCGTTTTAAA